TATTGTTTTTGCTGTTGTTATTTTGTTATTGCTAAAGAATAATGCTGGTGAGGGAGCAAATGAAGATTGATTTTCCTTTAGCTTTATCTACACGTGAAGTGCTGAGACAAGCAAAACATGTTTCCATTGCTTAACTAAGCAAACAATGGCATATAAATCATAAAGGCAGCTGGACCAAGGTGTCTTTTTCATAAAGTGGTAGATTTCTCATAAAGGACAGTTTAATGGGCCACTGCTGAAGAAATTGTTAAAGAATCCCACAGAGCCACAGAAAAACCAGAGCTAGCAGAAGGTGTCATTTGTGGTATGAGAAGTAGCTCAGTGTCAAGAGACTTGAGCAAAGGATATTTTAAAAAGGTGAACTGCATTTCTTAATTATTTGATTCTTGACACTAATTGTTTTAAATCAGCATTTCTATTTTTAGCCTGCTTACAGTGGTTATGAGATCTGCCATTAATGTTTATCATCATGTTTACATTTTGGTTTCATTCCCCCTTTGATCATGTTTAAATATACTTGTGACATATTCTTTTGATAGTTGATGTTTTGTTAAAGCACATTTTGACATTGATTGTTAGATTTCTAAACATATAGAATCCTTATAAACTGTTTAAACTCAAAGTGTTTCTTGATCCTTTTCACTAAGAGTGTTTTCTGGGCCTAGAACATAGAAAAAGAATACAATACACAGAGGGTGCGTCTATACTGGCAAGATTTTGCGCAAAAGCAATCGCTTTTGCGCAAAAACTTGCCAGCTGTCTACACTGGCCGCTTGAATTTGCGCAAGAGCACTGACGTTCTAATGTAAGAATTCAGTGCTTCTTGCACAAATACTTTGACGCTCCCACTCAGGATTAAGCCCTTTTGCGCAAGAATACTTGCGCAAGAGGGCCAGTGTAGACAGGCACCTTAATTTTTTGCGCAAGAAAGCCCGATGGCCATTCATGTCAGGGAGACAATTCATTGAATGTCCCATTACAACATCAAAAGGTATCATATTAGCACAGGTGGATTTACTGACATCATTAGTACCTAAGTGCCAACACTTTCCCTTCACATCAGTAGAGAAGGACTTATTCTATCAGCAACTCAACTCTCATCAGCAATCTACCACCAGGCAAGCAAGTCTGTCCATGGAGAGACTTCAAAGCTAAATCAGCTCACATCACAAGATGTGGTTGCTAATCACTGGCCATCATAGAGTGGAAAAACTTAACCACAATGGTCAAAGACAACTGGAGCTTTCCATTCACCAATCACTGTGTATTGCCAACACATGCAGGTTTCATGAAGACATCCCAGATTTAGAAACTGGGACCAATTACCTTTAATTGTCACCTGTAGAAAACACCTACAAGATGCTCTCCATGCTTGCTGTTATCACAGGATAGATTGTGATATAGACCATGCACTTGTATGCTTCATGGGCATTCCATCATACCGAACAGAAATCTTGCCCATGCATTAACATAAAAAAAAGAGCAGGGAAAGTGTTTCCAATTTAGTACCCATCTTCCAGAAGCAACTGCATCTTCCCTCAATGCTGATACTGCCTAGAAGACATTCAGAATATCCATATAACTGAAACATTCACTTTTAGTGAACAGACTATAAAAACTGATTTGTAGCACGACCTGAAGGAATATCCAGTTTCTGAAGCAAAATGCACCTCATATTTCCACCACAACCTTCACACCTCTCCTGAGACATATGCCAACTTAGGCTATGTCAATATAGCAGATGTTATTCTAAAATAACAAACAGTGTCTACACAGCAAGCCATTATCTTGAAATAATGTCGAGGATTAGTTACTCCAACTCCTGTAAGCCCCATTTTTTGAGGCGTAAGGGAAGTTAAAGGAAGAGTGATCTTCCTTCGGCTTCCTGCTGTGTATACAGTACCAAAAACCAAATTAAACTATTTTGACTTCAGGTACGCAATTGACATAGCTGAAGTTGCATAGCTTAAATTTACTTTGCCCTGATGTGTAGATATACTCTCAGAGTGGCCAAGAGTGGCCAATTACGCAGGCTTCATCTGTGCTAAAGATACAAATGACCTTTCAGAATGGAGATCTCAGATGTATGATTAATGCAATTAAGAAAGCAATAGATCCTTCATCTAAGAAGATTGTCCAACTCAAATATTTTAATGATCGTCAACATTGAGAGAAGCAAACAAATGCAAAACTGATTGAAACACTATCACAAACTCTATTCATGAGCATCCATTAAAGAGCTTGGTTTACAATCATTTATAAATGAACCTAAAAAATCAAATCCCTTCCTAGCACCAGGAAAGGCTGCAGGAAAAGATAGAATTCCAACTGAAGTAGAGAAACGAGGAGGACAGATTGTGCCTAATATCTGCACAGTGTCTTGCTTGTCTTTTTGCCTACCACAAGACCTGATGGATGCCAACTTCATAATGCTGTATAGAAACAAAGAAGACAGAATTATTTTAAACTACAGAGAAATCCCTCTCCCAGGTGTTGCTGGCAAGGCATTTACATAGGTCATTTTTAAAAGATTGTAAGTTCTTGCTGAATATGCATGTCCAGAGAGCCAACATGGCTAATGTACTATCACCATGATCTTCACAAAGGTAATTGTCTAAAAAGTGTCAAGAACAAGAATGTCCTTTGTTCATGGCCTTCATAGATCTTACAAAAGCTTTTGAGCTGGTTCACAGAGAGGATATTTTTCAATTGCTTGGGAGAACTGATTGCTTCACAATCCTCCTCAGTCTGATTCAGTCCTCCATAATGGGGTCCAGTATGATCGTATGATCAATCTGAAAGCTTCCAAATCCAGAGCGATGTCAAACAGGGATGTGCTTTGGCACCAACACTTCTCGGTGTATTCTCCTCATCATTGAGTCATCATGCTTTTTCATTTACCACCCGTGGTGTAAATCTCAGTACAAGATCAAATAGGAAACACTTCAACATTTCATCTCTACAAGCAAAAGGCAAGGTCAAACATCTGTCTATATGAGAAGTATTATTAATTGATGATGCAGTTCTCCTCACACATAGTGTATACATTTAATTAGCGTACAAACTGTGGAGCATCCTTAATAAATAAAGTAGTGCTTCAATAAGTTAGCTCCTCAGTTTATGAAAATCAGCGTAGCACAGTCAGGCTCATTATCTTCCTAACTATGTGTGATATGTATTAAGAAGACACTTTAATATATGATACTAGAACAGCTTATAATTTGACACAGGAACAAGACTCTTTGAGTAGTTAAATATAGTTCTCACTGAATTATCCCAGCAGGAGGTAAAATGCTGTAGGAAGAACAAAGGCTTGGTAATTCTGTTTGATTTACCTTCTTTTCCCTGAGGATGATCAAAGAGGCCGACTCAAATACTTGAATGAAAATATTGGGCCAGATATTCCCTTGGTGTAAATTGATAGCTCCATTAAAATCAATGGTGCTATAGTGATTTATACCAATTGAGTATGTGTTCTAGTATCTTTAACTACTGTTTTCTATTCATCAATCTCTCTTGATGCTTTATGAGTCTACAATAATATCATGGTCTATGTGTCAAAGGGTAATATGTATTCTGAATAAAGATGTCAGTAGAGCTGGTCAGAAAAGTGGATATTCCATTAATCTTTTATTTAAAAAATGAAAAACATATTTAAAAAATGTTCTCACCAGAATGGTTTTGTTTTTCCACACAAAAAAAATCAAAATGTTTTGTTTTTGTTAGCTGAAAAAATGGACAATATCAAACACATTGGCCATTTTTTATTTAAAATGTTTGGTAAATGTTAGGCTATTCTTGAGTGTTTTCTCTCTATTTCCAATTACTACAGATGCTGAGGGCATCTCACTGTTTAGGGTATTTATACTTTTAGTGCCATTACATTTTATTCATGGAGGACTAAGACAAGACAGACTATGTGACTTGATAAAGGTAACAGAGGAGGTACATGGCAGTTCATGAATTTTGAACATAGTTCCCCCAATTCTCAGCCTAGCACCTTTAACCATTGGGCAAACGATGTTCTTTCTGTAGTGTAGTTTTTCTGTTGAGTTTTTGTTTCAATTTGATATTTCTGCCATAGAGAAAGTCAAAATAAACAAGGAAATAAGAACTAGGTAAGAGTGAAGATGAAAGAAACTCTACACTCCATGCATGGAATTAGGAAGTTATGCTGTAATGTTACACTACCATTCATAGAGCAGTTTTATATGTGTTATATTACTCCATGGCTGTGTCTACACTGGCCACCTATTACGGAATAGGCATGCAAATGTAGCACTTTGGAAAAGGCAAATCCGCGGGGAATTTAAATATCCCCTGCGGCATTTGCATTTTCATGGCCGCCGCTTTTTTCCGGCTTGGAGATAAGCCGGAGAAAAGCGTCCAGACTGGCGCGATCCTCTAGAATAAAGCCCTATTCCGGAGGATCTCTTATTCCTACTTGCAAGTAGGAATTTTAAACATATTTTAAAAATGTTCTCACCAGAATGGTTTTGTTTTTCCACACACAAAAAAATCAAAATGTTTTGTTTTTGTTAGCTGAAAAAAATGGACAATATCAAACACTTATCTCCAAGCCGGAAAAAAGCGGCGGCCATGAAAATGCAAATGCCGCAGGGGATATTTAAATTCCCCGCGGATTTGCCTTTTCCAAAGTGCTACATTTGCATGCCTATTCCGTAATAGGGGCCAATGTAGACGTAGCCCATAGGTTTTCCTAAATCACTACAGAGGATAAATAGCAAGCACTGTTAAACACCAAATAAATAAACTGTAGACCTTTGCTGGTGTGCAGTGTTGGGAATGTGCTGTGTATTTTGTCCTACTAGTAGATTAAAAGAATAGAAAGAAGTCATAATAGGGTTTTTCTTTGTGTGGGAAGAAAAGCTGGAAAATTCCTTATTTGATGAAAGAGAAAGGAAGAGTGCTTTCATATAAATGAGCCAACAGGTTTCACTTGCTGGGTAGTAACATGTACACTGGCATTTTCTTCTCAGATCCTAGGTTTGTTAGTGCCCACCTAATACCAGAGAGTGACAACCCAGAAGATGACAAAATCTATTTCTTCTTCCGTGAAAATGCAATTGATGGAGAACACTCTGGAAAAGCCACCCATGCCAGAATAGGGCAGATCTGTAAGGTAATATGGTGACTTAATTGTGGGCAAATGGGTTTTGCAGAGTGACCAAAAGTCGAGGAAAGCATTACAGAGGAACGCTATTAGTTATCTTCTATTTAATGTAGCACCCCACATTTGCAATGAGAACCTTCTGAGTTTTCAAAATGTGGATGAGAGAAAAGTCTCATGCAAGAAATATGGTACTTCCTGCTTCCAGGTGGAGCAGATAGTCTGTAGAAATTTTCTTGGGTTATTTTTTACACCTCAGAGTTTCCATTCTGGATACAGCTCCTAAAGGCAGAGGCTTCTGAAAATGTAAATAATTGTTGAGGTTAAGTTTTATTACTGAACAAAGTGTCAGAAATCTCAGACTGGCTCATCCCTCCCAACAAATATCCACATATGTTTTTCCTAAGGTACCTTAAGAAAATAGCTGTGAATTAAGTAATCACATCAATTTTGATAGCTTTGGTAAATATAATGCTTTGAGTAGAATATCAGATTATGTCTGTGGGCAAGACTCCACATCTCCATCTCTTAAAAACTAGATAGCAACTTGAAAAATTGAAGCCCCACCCTTATGGAGACCTTGATCTGCTACCACTCCCAGCCCTGCTGTTAAGTGTCTGATTTTTCCATCTTATAACCTTTTATACTTTGAATCTATACAAATTGTGGGGCTACTTTGTTGATATTTAGTAAAGAATAATGAGCTGTTTAAACTTTATTAACACTTGGCAACATGTAAACGTGCACAGAAGCAAAATATTTGGAAATTTTTTGAAATTTTGGAAAAGCACCTTTCGAAAGCAAAGCGGAAAAAGATATACAAATTGCGGTTTGCAATTTGCGTATCTTTTTCCAACTTTTCTTTGTAGACTAGGTGTAGCCCAAGACACATTAAAATGGATACATTATTGGAATATTTGTAAAACTGAGGGGAATTTTATAATTTCCTAAACGGTAATGAGGAGACTATATAAAACTGTTGATTATGTTATATTTAACACATAGTTTTAAGTGTCATTTTTTCATATAATTTCCTATTTCAAACATGAATATTATCATGTGTTAACATGCAATATTTCTCCTGTTAGAATGACTTTGGTGGACACAGAAGCCTTGTTAATAAATGGACAACTTTCCTTAAAGCACGTCTGATTTGTTCTGTGCCAGGACCCAATGGCATTGATACGCATTTTGATGAACTACGTAAGTAGCCAAAATGGATTTGATTGCGGAAGTATTTTCTGGTACTTTAATTACCGAAATTACCATGTGTTTTCTTGGTTTTTTTCTTTTTCTTTTTGTTACAGAGGACGTATTTCTAATGAACTCAAAAGACCCTAAAAATCCAATAGTCTATGGAGTGTTTACAACTTCCAGGTACAGAGTGTATCATTTTACTTGCATGGAAACTTGTGTGGCTGGTTGCTTTAAAGAGCTCTCTTTGTTACAATGTTCTTAAAATCACAGCATTTTCTTAACCTTTGAACTATCACAAGGCAGTCCAAGTTAGTGAATTACTTTCTTTTCTCCTAAGCAAAGTAGCCATGCAGTTGGAGCGAATGTGTTAGTTTCTCAGTGCTGCTGAAGCACTGACTTTAAAGATGGAGGGTGAAATGTCAAAGCCTCTTGCCAAATAGAGCTGGAAAAATAATGTCAAGAACATTTTTTCAACATTTTTTAATTTAATTCCTGAAATTTTAAAATTTTGGAAAATTTCTGGCCAATCAATTGATTTTTTAAGAAAAAAAATCAAATAATTTACAAAAATATTTACATTTTGAAAATTAAATTTTTCAATCACTCTACAACTACTGAGTCTAGTACATGCATGGTATACATATTTTCACTTCAGAGGCTCATAGATTCTAAGGTTAGAATGGATCACTTTGTGGTCAACTACTCTGATCTCATGCAGTCCGCAGAACTTTCTTCAATTGAGCTTACACTAAGGATGGAATTGTCCCTAGAACTTTTTTCTCATTAAGGACCATTGAATTTGCCTCTGAGGGGAAAACTACCTATAACCATGGAGGCAGACATATTTGTTTTGAAACACAAGTTTCTAGTGATCAGATAATGCACAAGAATTAAGCTTATCCACTCTCATTATAAAAGCCCCAAGGTAATGTACAGCGGTGCAGCTTCAGCGTGTGTGTTCTCACAAAGGGGATGTGGGGGAGAGAGAGCAAGGGCAAAACTAAAACAAATATGCCCAATATTAACCAGGGCATATAAAGTTATTGTTTAACTATAGGGTGAGTAATGGATCAACAGAGCTATTTGCATGAAGTTCACCATTATGAAAAACACATGAGATCTCTTTATTTCATATTTACACCAATAAGTTAGATTTGTGGAATATCAGCTGTTACAAGTAGATTGCTCCTACCTTCTTTATGAAGCAGTTCTGTTTCAAAATCAGAGAGGAAAGCAGAAAACACCTATTATCTATTGAGATCCAGATTCCACCATTCTCAGCCTTATCCATATAAAGTAGCCCTAATGCTGAGCAAAGTCCCTTGAAATTGGATTTAGACCTTATAACAATATGTTTCAAGTAGCAGCCAGCTTCAATTCTGCTTAGAAAAAAACTCTGAGAGATTTGTAGTAGTAACTTTCAAAGGCATGTGTTTAGGTTTGCTGAGACAGCATTTCAGAGTTTGGAAAAATCAATGCACACAATAAATTAAAGAGCCTTCGATCCCACCATTCTCCTGTGATTAAATTGACAAATAATTTAAAGAAACTGATTTCTTTTTCTCCCCCCCCTTCCATCCCATTTTTAGCAACATCTTCAAAGGATCGGCAGTGTGCATGTACAGCATGACAGATGTAAGGAGGGTATTCCTTGGGCCATATTCTCACAGAGATGGCCCCAACTACCAGTGGGTGCCTTACCAAGGACGTGTGCCATATCCACGGCCAGGAACTGTAAGTGCACTGGAAAATCTGATAGTGGTTTCACTCATTACATTGTATGTTAACTTTACATCACCAAGGAAGCTGAAAGAAAAGCAAACTTGCTGGTGCTGCAAATCCAGAATTTGCTGCCTCTACTTGCAGTGTGCAGCTGCTTTGTCATTGAGCCTAACCCTGTAAACCTCAACTCAGGCAAAAACCATATTGATTTCAGCAGAAGTTTGACTGAAGCAGGGTTACAGGATTTTGTGGAGTATTTTTAGAGTAGTTAAGGAATAATGCAGCTTTCCTCTCCTAAATTGCATCTCTATAGAGCATTAAGGTAACCATTCTGCAGTGGATGGGAAAGCCATTGGAATAGTGGAATAATTCCAAGAGGGATTTTTGAAAACTGTCATTCTACTTTCCTGTCTCTTTCTAATGCCTTGGATACTGTGGTGACCATGGAACCACTACTTGTGACTTCCCATTCAATCCAGTCACTGTCAGATCTCAGAAATGCTGCTGAGCTTTCCCTATACGTGTCTTTTCTCCAGTAGAATGTGTTAAAGGATTGGGTTGTACATATCAGGGTAGATTTTCAGCTGTTGTAAATCAACTTCACTCCATTGACATTCCAGTGTACAGTAGGCTAAGGATCAAGCCCATTCAGATATATCTATGCCTGACATAATCTCTAAGGATGCATCTATCCTGCGCCGTTATTTTGAGATACCTAGCATTATTTCAAAATAACAATGCGAGCACCTACACAGCCATTCTGTTATTTTGAAATAATTTTTAAATAACAGATGGCTTATTCCAAAATCTGTAATTCTCATTCTACAAAGAATAACACCTATTCCAAAATTGCTATTTTGAAATAAGCGTGCAGTGTAGACGTACCTTAAATTTCAAGGAAGTACAGTGCCATTAAAAAAACAAGGATAGCACATAGGCATTATTCATAAGTGGACATTTCTATGATTCTTTGATAATATAGATTGCCCTTTAATTGTCAGTAGCCTTTAAACTAGTTCTTTCATCAAGCTTGTTCTCAAAACTAGCTTCCATGATTAGTAGTGAAAGGATTAAATGATATAGATGTCTGACCTTACAAAAATTGATTGCTACATTAAAGAAGGGAATAATTCCTCAGCAACAGGATTATATAATTCTCCTCACTCCGTGCACGTGATTGCTAAAGAGATAAGCAGATTTCTTCTTCAAAATGTCTCAAGTGCTCCAGAGTTTAGGGGAATTTTATTCCTGGGATGTTGTTGAAATCCATTAAAAAATCCCAGGAGGAATAAAAGATTATATTAATAGAATGGATAGTGGTATGAGATATGAGATACGATATATGAGCATGGCTAAATTCAGATTCCTCAACAAAAGCAAAGATTTTATTTTATTTTGAAATAAAATACACCTTTTCCTCTTAATTGATTCACAACTCACCCTTGAATAACCGAGCTACTAAATCCTGGTGTACTTTCTGCCTTTGGCCTGCATCCGACAAGACTGAATATTTTCAACTCCTGGTGAAGTAAAAGGAAATTGAGGTGTTAGTACATTGCTGGATAGATAGATACTAGATATTGCTCAATTCTCTAGCATCAGGCATTTTCTTGATGACTCCTAGCATACTTTCTTCACCGATTAAAAAACTCTGACCAGGTATATTAAAGTATTGCTCTCAACCAGCAAATCACATAGACATGAATAAGGGATACCAGATAGCTAGTGTGAGAAATTAGAACAGGAAATGGGGAGTAATGGGTGCTTATACAAGACAAAACACTGAATATCTGGACTTTCCCTATGAAATTAGGACTTATGATCACCTTAACATGCACTTAACTTTAAGCATTTGAGTAATCCCGTTGTGGACTATTCAGATGCTTGCACAAATGTTTTGTTAGATTGAATTGGGGCCTATGAAGTCAGAAGGAGTCTAGTCATTAACATCTGAGCAGTGTCAGGTTAATGCTTTGCTACACATACAGCCATTGTGATGTCTGAAATCTCTGCAAAAAAATCCATCATATCTACACATGGGAAAGTGACAAGACTTATCCTCTGGCTACAATATTTTAAAGAAATTTTGAATCAGAATTTTTTTCCTCTAAATCCTTCCCCCTAAAACTATTGTAAAAAAAGACCAATAGACTTGGATCAATAATTCATTCCAGAAGTTTTGCTTCTTTTTTTTCAGAATGTGAACTGTTTGCATTTTTTGTGTGATTCAGGTGTATTTATTCTGTTACGTCTGTGAATAATTGCTGGTCTGTAATCTAATAAGGAAGCGATCACTGTGAGAATTTAGTATTTGAAATTCAGGATGTGTTGATTGTCCACAGAGGTTGCACGGTATCCAGTGCTCTGTATCCTTTCTAGCAACTCTTAGGGATAGATTTTGACTTTGAGCAGAGCACTGAACATGTGGTGAGGCAGAAGCAACACCACATCAGGAGTAGCTCTGGGATGCACAGCACAGCAGATATCCCTTTGGGAAACAACATTCCAACATTTCTTCCCCCTTGCTCAGGAGGGTTTGAGATTTACTGTGGATATAGAGCAGCAACAAATTGCTATACTTTCATGCTGTGATGGCTCAGCTGCTCTGGCCAATGAGCAGGGAAGATGGATTCATGGCTCCACCCATTTTCTGCCCACCTACACCAGAGAAGGAATGTATCCCCATTTATTGTTGCAGAGCCAAGCACTAGGTTCAGGTAACTCACACAGAGGTGCAGAGGAGAGATTCTTACTTCCTTTTATTTCTCTCACAGGGGTAGCTGTGTTAGTCTGTAATTTTAAAAATGAATAGTTCTGTGGCACCTTAGAGATTAACAAAAATATATAGAATCATGAACTTCCATAGGTAAAACAGACTTCACCAGAAGAATTGTTTGAATTGCTCTATGCAAGTATGGAGTCCAACTCACAATCTAGCCCTTGGAATTAGGTTTCTCTAACAAATGCTCATGATTACAAATCTAAAATAGGCTTTCTGTAAATATTATGCCTAACAGGTTGTCTTGATGAACACTGCTGCCAGCAAGTTCCTTTGTATTTACTTTCTACCAATATTTTAGCAAACAGGATTGAAATACAGTAGAAATATATTCATTTAGAAATTGAAATGAATATACATAGATCTCATTTTATATTTGTAGTATTTGCCCAGCTGCAATTAATGCTTAGTACTTCTATAGTGATTTTCCTGTTCAAGGCACTTTACATACATTATCTAATTAAGGTTTGATTAATGTAAGTAATCAGTATCACACTCTAGTTGGAATATTAATCCAAGCATAAAGAAAACTTTGAGAGTGCCCTGTAGAAACACAAAATTTCAGATTTATGATCTTTAGCATTGCTGGAGTCAAAGGCTTAAAACTAGAAGTATATTGTATTTTTCTAATTGGAAATAAAAGAAAATATAGATATGAAATAATAGGGTTAGAATGCAGAGATAATTAGAATAGGTAAGTAACTTGCCATATTTATGATTATTGTTTATTTGGCTGCTTGTGTTTAATCAGTATTTCATTCTTTCTCTAACACAACAAAAGAGAATATTGGAATTTGCTTCCTTGAAAACATGCAAAAAAAGTGAAAACCTATCTCACCCTCCTCCCCCATGCTTCCCACTGCATTGAAGTGTTCCTTGGCTGCAAATAACAACTTCTCCTTTTGGCCATATTGATTTCTTTATGCCATTTCTGATGAATTATTAATAAACTGGATCAAGGTGATGCAAAGACAATTGATTTCTTCTACTGAGAATCCAGCAAGATCTGGATTTCTGATCAATTACTTTTTTGGGTTCAAAGTTTTTACCCTAAGTGGTGGATATTCTATCAATGTGAATAAAAGATGCATTATTCTTCACTCTGTATTACCAAGCTATTTGTAATTTAAGATCAAATCTGGTGAATAAAAGCATAAGCACATGCCTTGTAGCTTTGTATGTCTGAGATGGATGTCTTGTGTTTTAAGGGGTTAGGATTAGGAACCTGAAGATGTCTTCTCAAAATTCTTGGAAAAGTCATTTAAGTTTCTTGTGCCTCGGTCTCCTCATTTGTAAAATGGGGCTAATAATAATTCCCCAGTTTCCAAAGAGGTGTTGTTAGGTCAAATTCTCTGATGTTCATATAGTATTTTGAGTTTTGAAGAGAACGCAGTAGGTAAGGGCTAGTCTTTAGCATTTAACCACAGCCCTAATGCATAATGCACACCTCCCCTTGAGCAATTGTGGCTGGGGAAGGCAGAAGGGAATGCTTGTGGGAGGACAGAGTTATGGCTTTGCCCGCTCTTCTCTCCACTTTTTCCCTCATCCTCAACCACTTGCTCATGGGTGGAGAGAGGAGTGTCTGCAAAGCCACCGTATGTGCATAGGACTCGGAGCCAGAATTGGTTAGTCCTAAAATGATCGCATGAGGTGGCACATGGAATCTTTACTCCTCTGTACGGTTGTGTGTGGATTAGGGAAGGTCTAGACCCATATGGAACATATTGCCCCTCATTGACATTGTATTGATCACCACAAGAAGATATTGAGGCAACAAACTCACCACAAGTACTTTATTCACCACTCTAGCTAGAAAATGTATATGAAGGATTCAACACATCAGGAGCCTCATCATCAGAACCACTTTATGATGCCAGATATGTCCACATAATCAGCAGTTTAGATAATCAGAGTAAACAGAACAAAGAGTCATACTGGCAGTTCATTAGAAGCTAATCCACAGTCCTTTGAAGTGAATGCGCTTTGACTTGTGTCCCAGAAGAAGATGCTTAGATAGTGGGGTGATTGTTATGGATAATTAGTTTTCTACTGTATAGATAACTAAATGCTTTAATCTGTGTCTTTTGTGCGGTAATTTTCAGCATATTCAGCATCCCAAAAGTCTTGTACTGCCAATTAGAAAGATAATACTAGTCAGTAAATTCCTGACAATCAATTATTCACACAGCACAGCGATAAGAAAGATAATGTGCACCAATGGTAATATTCTGCAGTATGAAATATTGATTTCAATGAAGAAAAATATTTCTCCAAAGACTTTTAGTTCCAGTATTAACTCCCTTGCACAGTTATCCATACTGGAACAATTATATCCTGGGTAGCTCTTTATTATAGATTGAAGACTCATACAGATGCCAAAGAAGCTGATATGTCTTATTACTCTGTTATAAGATGCAAAACATGAGAATTTCTTGTTCTCAGTGTCCCAGTAAAACATTTGGAGGCTTTGACTCTACCAAGGACCTTCCTGATGAAGTCATCACATTTGCAAGAAGTCATCCAGCAATGTACAACCCTGTGTTCCCTATCAATAATCGTCCAATCATGATCAAAACAGATGTGGATTACCAGTTCACACAGATAGTAGTAGATCGGGTTGATGCAGAAGATGGCCAGTATGATGTCATGTTCATTGGAACAGGTAAGAATATTTCACACTACATCTGATGTTCTTACATGAGTATGGAGAAGTAGAGTAGACTAGTGTTTTTCTTTACTAGTAGAAAGCAAGCTTATTTTTGTGTACTATAGAGTACTCTGTGGGGATGGCTCAACACGTTTTTTCTTTTTCTTTTTGTTACTTCAGGGTTACATGTTGTTTCATTAGGATGTGCAGCTGTACCATTGACGTCAGTGGGTGTTTTGCTTTTGATTCTAGTCGGAGAAGGAAAAGACCATTATTGCTGGGTGGGGGGAATTGGATTTAGAGGCATCTTCCCCCTGGTCGTTATAAATTTGTTTTTAACTAAATATCTGGGGGTACATGTTCATTCCATAGAAACTAGTCACATGAGCAAAGTGAGTTGTCCAAATTGTAGGATATTTCTTGTGTCCTCTTTAAACATATTCTGCACTATACTAATCTAAACTGGCCACCAGACAAAAGAATGTGGCTTTAACCTCAACACAACGGGTTTTCTGGTATCTCTATGAAGTCCTAGGAAGGACAAAAAGCTATGCTGAAGCCTGGTCCCCCTGGTATTGACGCTACCTTATGGGTAGGTTTCATATCATTCTTCCAGCAGGCAGAGAAGATTTTTTTTCTAAATAAAGCACTTTTTACTACTGCTAAAAGTTTTGCATGAAAGCACCGGGGGCCAGCACCAGTCACTCAGCTCTGTTTTCCTATTGATTAGCACCATCTGAGGAGATGGCCATGCCTCTATCATGATTTTCCACTCAATTGGCTAATGTTTCAAACTTGCATTGAATATAGTGACTTTATTACTAGCCTCATGAATTTAAAGAACTTTCCCAACTCTAACAATGAACAAGTTCTCCTTCTGTTTCTCTTTCTTTCTTATAAGCATACAGTTTCTGAATGGCACCAGTTACAAATCTACAGCTCCATAGCTGGGGGTCAGATTCCACAGCAATAAATCTCAAGACTCTCCTTTTCTTAATGCCTAACATAAATCATGAGTAAACTGAGACCTGTGCTGACGCTTAGTACACAGAACGTATTGCATGTGTACAAACATGCACTACAGAAGATGTACCAGTAACGAAAGCGCTCCAGCTCTTTAAAATTGTGAGCTGAACTATGACATGTGTGTGCTATAGTGGATTATTGTATAGAACTCTTAACAATCATTTTAACCTGCTTTTATCTGCACAAATATTTTCCATCATGTAAGGAAAATTGAATAATATCCGCCCATCTTGCAATAACAGTAAGAAGATGGCTCGTTTATCGAACTTTTTATCCATAGCTCTCAAAGACACACAAAGGCAGGAAATATCATTGTCCCTATTTTACAGATAGGAAAATCAAATCACCTAGCAGGTCAGAGGTCAAACCAGGAATATAACCCAAGTCTTTTAAGTCCCCATTATCTGTTCTGCCCAGTAAGCTGCTCTGTTATAACACTTTCATTCAGTCATTTATGGACTGATCCTGCTCTCTCTGATGTAAATGGTAAAAATCTCATTGGTGAAAAGTAAAACTTTCATTGAATTTGGTGGTGCATGAGCAAGGCTTTACGTAAGAATGCCATCCTGGGTCAGACCAAAGGTCCATCTAGCCCAGTATGGGTATGTCTACACTAGCTCGTTAGTTCGAGCTAGGTAGGGTAATGAGGGCAAGCGGAGTTGAAAATGAAGCCCAGGATTTAAATATCCCGAGCTTCATTTGCATGTTCCCGGGTGCCGCCATTTTTAAATCCCCCTTAGTCCGAACTCCGTGCCCACGGCTACACGTGGCACGGAGTAGGTGGTTCGAATTAAAGATCCTAATTCAAATGAGAAGTAACTGCAGTTTGAATTAGAACCTTTAATTAGAACTTCCTACTGCTACACGTGGCACGGAGTAGGCACGGAGTTCAGACTAAGGGGGATTTAAAAATGGCGGCACCCGGGAACATGCAAATGAAGCTCGGGATATTTAAATCCTGGGCTTCATTTTCAACTCCGCTTGCCCTCATTACCCTACCTAGCTCGAACTAACGACTTGTGTAGACATATCCTATCTTATCTTCTGACCATGGCCAATGTCAGGTGCCTCAGAGGGAATGAACAGAATAGAATCATCCAGTGATCCATCCCCTGTCACCCAGTCCCGGCTTCTGGGAAACAGAGGCTAGGAACACCATCTTTACCCATCCTGGCTAATAGCCATTGATGGAGCTATCCTTCATGAATTTGTCTAGTTGTCTTTTTTTGTCCCATTACAGTCCTGGCCTTCACAATATCCTCTAGCAAACAATTCCATGGGTAGACTGTGTGTTGTGTGAAGAAATACTTCTTTTTGTTTGTTTAAAACCTACTGCCTATTAATTTCATTTGGTGACCCCTATGTTATGAAAAGGAGTAAGGAGTAAATAGAAATTCCTTATCTACTTTCTCCACACTAATCATGAATTTCTAATCCTCAGTTAAATCCCCCATTAATCATCTCTTTTCTAAGATGAAATGTCTTAATACAGGTTGAACCTCCCAAAACCAGGACTCCCTCATCCGGCAGCATCCATGGACTGGTAGAACCATGGATGTTCCTGGACCAGGGCATCCTGGTTGGGAACTCCAGTGGCTAGAGGGCTGGCAGTTCAGAGCCCAGTGGGACTGGGACCAGCACCAGAGTCCCGGTAGTGCAGAGGGGCCCTGGCAGCCCCAGTAGAAAGGCAGGGGACAGGGTTGCAGCAGCTTCAATAGAGGGTTTGGGACTGGGGCAGTCCAGGCTTCTGGGGCCGCAGCAGCATGGTAGCCCTGGGATATGGGCTGGGGCCAGTAGCGGGTAGAGAATGTGCTCTGGGGAGCTAGTAGCAGGGGGCCTTCTCTATTCCAGCAAATTACAGGACTGGTCAGGACTCGAGGATGCTGGACCAGAGAGGTCCAACCTGTATTATTAATTTCTTCTCATGCGGAATCTTTCCATGCCCCAATCATTTCTGTGGCTCTTTTTGGAACCATTTTCAATTCCTATATCTCTCCTTTTTTGGAGATGGCACAACCAAATCTGCATACAGCATTTAATATGTGGATGTACCATGGATTTATATTGGGGCAATATCATAGTTTTACCTTATTATCTATCCCTTTCTTAATGATTCCCAACATTTTGTTCACTTTTTTGACTGCTGCTGTACACTGAGTGGATGTTTTTAGTAAGGATGTAAATGTGTAGCTAAGTACACAGTTAACCAATGGGCCCTGGCTCCCACCTCAGAGGCAGTGGGGGAGGGAGGACTGGGTGCTCACAGGGAGCTGGCTTAAAAACTAACTTGCTGTGAGCACTGTCTCCTGCAGATCCGTGTCCCTCTCCCCCGCACTGCGGCCTATGACACAAAGCCATGATTTAGCCTTGTGTGGTGTGACTGGAATTGCCTGCAGTTCTGAGCCCTATAGCTGTGAGCATTGTAGTTATTAGGCTGCAGGACTTCAATAAAATGGTGACACTTTTTTTGGTATTGACATAAATGGTGGTAATTAACCCTAGGTAATTAACAGGCTATCCAGAATGGTTCTGTTTTCCTTTCCTATTGATGAAATCTTCATCCACACAGTTTCTTTCTCACTGTCACTTATTGTTGACTATCCCCTATTCCCCAGTGGAAACAAAATTATATTGGAATGCTTGAAAAAATGTCTGAAAAACCAGTTCCATTGTATCCATTTAAAGCATATCCTGAATGTCTGATGTGGGGGATCATTTGGCACAGTCTAGGTATATCCGTCAGTAAAGTGAATTAATAACAGTAATCTTATCTTCTAAACTGAGTGACTTACTAGAGAGCCCATTGATCCGAAAAGAGAAACTCAATTCAATTTGTGTGAAATTGTTTGAAATACTACTCTGCAAAACTTGATCTAGAACTCAGATAAAACACCACTTTGGTACCTGAGGCCTGATCAGAGTCGCCATAGCGATTAACATATTGTACCTTTGACCTCAAGGGCTTTCTGCAGCACCAGGCTACCATGATCATTGAAGGATCTTCTTAAAAGAAAAGCATTTATTTAAAAAATATGATGCTAAAGCTACAGTATCTACCTGCCCTGCTCAGATTCCACAGCTCCCCTTGCTTCACTTTATCAAAATTTCATGCTGTCCCAAAAAGTAGCATTCAATAGAATATAAATGTGGTGCTCATGACAGTCTTCTACTAATACCATGTCAAGCCCTAAACACCGTGAAACCTCGTTATGTTTGTTAGCTTAAAATCCTTTCTCTGATGTTTGCAGTAGGGGTTTTTTTTTCCAAACCACAATTACCAAATTGGAGCCAGGGTAATTAGGGCAGTTTCCTATTCTCATAGTGCTAATAACTTTGAATTATTTTTTTCTGGATTGTTTAGTTGCAGAACATTCAGGAGTTTTTGTTTTATTTTAAAGTTTATGTTCTGTTTAATCTATGATGTTCTGTAAAGCAAATTTTAAGTATATGGCTCAAAATGAATATTTTAAAATAATAGTAATAATAGTGCATAGCCAAAAATTTTATAACGGTCCCTCTAGTATTTTTCATGAGTCAAAGTCACACATGCAATATTTTAAATGAAACGTAAAACTTCCTTTTAAAATATTTTTTATTTTGCTTTAAAAATTGCACATGCAAATTTGGAGCTTATGAACAAGATTAAAATTTAGTTTTTGTTGAAAAATTAAACAAGGATGTATGATTTGTTTTGTTTTGTTTTAAAAAACCTGCTATCCGTAGATATTTAGATTACAGCTTTTGCATAAGAGAGTTAGAGTGGGTTAAAAAGCAAAATTTCTGTTTCATGGGAATATCTCAGATGTTGACATTTTTTATTTAAATTCAAGATACAAAGTTAATAACTGATTTTTTCACAGAATAAAATATTGTAAAAGTGTTTTTACTTCATAAAAACATTTCATTTCTATAAAGGTCAACATATTTTGTTTCACTTTGACTTTTATTGTTTCAACTTTCATATGAGGTAAACTTTATATGCTGTAAAGTATAACTTTCCAAATGATAATTTCTAAAGGATAAAGATTAAATTAAACAGTTAAACCTTACCAAATATAAACATTTTTCTGTTGTTTTTTTTTTATCCAAATAGATACTTGCCTGGTAAACATTGAATCAACTTTTTTCTTATGGGAAAATGTAGAATTTTCCATCAGAACATTGTTTACCATCTCTAATAGTGATTCTAGGAGAATTCTTGTATGAGGAAGATTGTTGACTTTCTGTATTTACCTCTTGGCTTTAAAAACAACCTAAATTTTCCAGAGTGACTAATGGCTGGGGGTTGCTGATTCTGAGACACCTTAAAGGGGAGTGGATTATCAGAGAGTGAATGCTTATTGCTTTGTACAAAATGATTATATTACATCATGCTTAGCAGACCTAAAACATTAAATAAGAACACATGTTTCTTGTTACCGCTAACATTCTTTGCTAACCTTCAACAAGCCAGAAATACTAGGTTTTGGATTAAGCTGGAAAAAGTTGCAACTGTTTCTAAAAATTTGGTTTATTCAAAATGAAGCACAGATATATGTTTTAAAGGTTAAATAGAAAGACGGTCTTAAGTTAGAAAGTTCACTTCTAAATCCAGACTTCCACACATGTTTAGAGGGTGTTTAGCTCTGGGATTTTGAGACCTGGACCTTTACACATTAACGTCAGTGGAAAAACTCTCAATAACTTAAATGAATGTAGAATCGAGTCTTTGGTACAAACTTATCTGTAATGAAACAATACAAGTTGTACAGGACTGTTATTGTTTTACCCTGAAACAAGTCTAATGCCATTCATCACATAATAGAAATACAGATGTGTTTAGGGACATATAAGTCTTAGATGCTTTTGCTTGACATCAGGAAGATCAGCATGTACTTAAAAGAGCTGACACTTCATCAGTTTGACAACATTCTTCCAGCTGTCCTAGTATCCACAATGAGCCTTCTAATAACATCTGCACGTGTATTTTAAAACAAGTATGAAAAACTTCCTCCTTCAGAATGGCTAATAAAATGTGGCTGAGTAAATTTAGCACATTCCCATCTATAATAATACCTCCGAGGCAGCTGACATTTCATAGCACCAATCTAATAATATTGTGCTGTCCTGTTCATTCTTTAACAGCTGAAGCAGAATAATGAATCATTTTTCTGTTGAGTTTCCACAATTAAGAAATTTCAGAACAATGCCTTATGGAAATTCAAAACCCAGCTAGTTCATTTCAAATGTCAGTGGGTATTGTGTGGAGTCAGTTTTCAGCAATATGTAGCGTCAGGACCTTTGTGTGGAAATAATTGCATATTACAAGAGACCAAGAAATTCTAGTTGCCCTTAAATTTGAGTCTACTTATTAAACACCTGAAAACATTTTTATTTTTCTTTTAAAGATATTGGGACAGTTCTTAAAGTGGTTTCCATTCCTAAGGAGACTTGGCATGATTTAGAAGAAGTCTTGCTGGAAGAAATGACAGTCTTTCAGGTAAGTGCTGCTAAATTTCAAGTGTCTGGTTGTAGATTTTTCTGTGGACAGCTGCAATCTTAACGTGTAGCAGGATAGCCAAGGAGTAGCCTGGCATACTCTTCTAATTAGCTTGTCAATTACAGCCCAGACACTAGTCAAAATAAACCTTGATGCTCCCAGTGCTAGTTGGAGGTTAATGATAAAAGAAATCACATTCCTGACTTTTGTTGTGCTATTTCAATGATAAATTAAAACCACTGAATATCTGAGTGATTGTCAGTTACAGTTAAACAATGTGCATTTTCTGGAATCGCCCCACCTATTGTGTCTCACAGGGTAATAGAAAGTAAGAACTACATCTGTGGCTATTAGAAACAATTCATATTACCAGGGTAGTAGGAGACTCTTCAATCTTACACCTTTAGCTTCTCTGATGTAATAGTGAGAGCATAAGAAATATTCATGAAATATACACTTTAGAGGTTGTACCTCCCTTAACTGGGACTCCCTGCTCTGGAAACATCTCTGGTCTGGCATGGACCACGGATGTTCCTGGACCACAGAGCCCAGGAACAGGAAAGTCTGATGGTGGGGCAGGAGTGCCATAGGGGAAACCAGCAACTTAGCTGGGAGCCGAGTGTGGAGGGGAGAAGAGGGGGGAACGGGCAGCATGGTAGGGAGTTCTGGGCCCAGCGAATCAGACCAGAGGTTTGCGGCTAAGGAATTTGGTCTCTGGGGCTGGGAGGCAGAGCAGTGGCTGTAGGGCTGAAGGATTGGGCTGTCAGGGCTGTTAGGTGAGGCAGAGGTGGGGTGTGGTAGGGGGGGTGGGGCTAAGGGATTGGGTCATCAGGGCTGGAAGGCAGAGCAGTGGCTGGGGTATTGGGCTGGGGCTGGGAGCAGGATCTGTGGAGGAAGGGATTGGGGCTGCTTCATCCGGTATTTCCATAGACTGGTACTAGGCATATGCAGCATAGAGCAGGACTTAATTTGGGACACGCTGGTGCCACAGATTGAGTGGTGCCTGACACGGCTGCATATTCTGCGTATGCCTAAAGGCAGCACTGTCTCCATTGTTAGGTGCCTGAATAGCTTAAAAAGGCCTGATGTTCAGAAGATGGGAGCTCAGCATTTTATGAAAATCAAGTCCCTTTAAGGTACTGCGAGCTGCTCCCCCATCTTAGCCCAACGGAAGCATTCAGCAATCTCTTCTGAAAATTGAGGGGATATTTCATGTTTTCTGTGCTACAATAAAACCATTGAGTTTCCTGAACTATCTCTGTCCATGATATGTTGGCATCAATCTATCTTTGGCTTGACAGAAGACACAGCATATTTGGGAACATCTTATAGAAACAGTTACTTTCAGTATTCTATGCTTCGCAGGCAAAGTCTGCAGAAGATTCACCGCCCAGAGATTAGTCCCTGTCAGCCTGTGTTACATTTTTCTGTGGGTTTGGGTTTTTATTTCTTTTGTTGTTTGGTTTTTTTTTAACCCAAATGTAAATTAGAAGCTACGAGGGAAAAAATGAGAAGAGTAATTTGTGGCTTCTGGCTTTTCTCTCTTTAAAATGAAGCAAAGTTATTATGTACTCCACAGGGTAATCTGGCAACTTTGATAGCATAGTAGTGTCTTCCTTAAATAAAACAGAAGTGCTAAGAGATCCAAGAAATGGGACAGTAAATTAAGAAAAACTGAATCAATGTTATTTTCTAAACTGGATTTGCAGTACCACTATACTCAACGGAAAATTAGAATTTGGGTTTTAAGTTTACTTGTGCATCTTTTGTGTTTATATTATGTAGTCTGGGCCTGACTCTCATCTACATTAAAGCTCCTTTAGTTTAGTAGTACAAGGAGACCTTGAAATAAATAAAAATTAGACTTTTAATGGAAATTTGGCAATACATTTTAAATGTAACCCACAAGATCTGAGTTTTTATTAGCTACAGAGGAGGCTGTCTGTGTGTCATGAAGAATGTGTTTCACTGTTTGAGCTGTAGTATGATGAATACAATTGTTTTCATTTATAAATCCACCAAACTGAAAACCTTCCAGATCTGTTACATTGATAACAAATGCCTTTTTTTAACCCGAATTGTGGAATATTCCCCTGAACAGCTGAGCAAACAAGCAAATGAGTTCAATTTTCATTCAAATGTAACACATAATTGATGCTTTCTAATACCAGGTCTATTAACCGATTTGTAAAGGAAGCCACATGCTTAGCATCCACTCAGCCATATCAAATTCTCCCAGGATCAGCAGGTTGAAAGCTTAAATGTGAACTATATTAATAGATCTTTCTAAAAACAAGATGCATAGGGTCAGTAAGTAGTACTCTTTTGCACTATACGTAGTAAGGTTTTGCACTGCATTGAAACTTAAATTTTGTTAGTTACTCATTAAGATCTTAGACTTATAATTTTTCATCACATATCGCTGAAGTCACTCAGCCTGCCAATGTAAAAAAACAAAAAACAAAAATCAAACAAGAAAACCCCAACATTTTAGGATCAAGACTAAATCCAGTATATTAACATTGCTTATAAATAATTTATATGGGAATCTATGTATTGGTCCAAATTCTGTTTACTGTACTCATACATGGTGTTCAGTTGAAGTCAGTGCCTAAGTAAGGTGAGCAGAATTGCCCATTATGTTGATTAAATATGCTGCTGTATAAAATTTGTTTCCTCTTTGAGCTCCACAATCCATAAACATGAGCAACTGTGTGTGTGAGCAATCCCAGTGCAGTTAATAGTTAAGACTACCCATGTGAGGAAAGCTAGTCACGTGAGTATTTGCAGAACTCGGGCTTTCATCTAGGTATTGCAGAAAGGATTGGTTTATTTAGGTTCCCATCACCAGATATTTATCATATTAATATTTATTCTTAAGCTTTCCTCTGTATGTGCCATGTGCATAAATTCCTGTACATTTCAATTTAACAGTAGGAGCAGAAATGTATCTCAAAAAGTGAAACAAATAATAAAACCAATAACTCTAGAATAATAAAATATGGGAAATGGTTGATAAATTGTGGTGATAAATTTAGACATGCACAGACATAAATGCACATGCATTTTAGTTTTCTCTGACAATAAAAACATTTTATTGTAATAGTCCACAAGAAATGCCATCAATAGACCCCAGAGTTTCTTAGCTGGTAGATGATCTTTATTACGAGCTTCATGTTTATAAAAAACACATTTTACATTTTAACACTTTTTGATTTTTTTTTTCCCTAGGAACCCACTGTTATTTCAGCAATGAAGATTTCCACAAAGCAGGTACTTGTATGCATCAGCTTTAAATCACTTTTTAAAATATTTATTGGCCTGTATATTTCAGAGACAGTTATTTGGCACTTAGTAGAGGCATATTAATTATACCAGCAACATCCCATCTCTTTACATAAACATCAGTAGTTTCTCATGGAAGATGTGTCAAGCAGTGCAGAAGAAAAAATGTTCGTTTTGTGCTTTACTGGCATGGTAGAAACTAAGCACTTACCAACCAACTGCTTGTAGAAAAATGCCACATTACCAAATGCTCCAGCATCTGAGAAGCTATTGTATTTAGAGGTGTTTCACTCACTGACAACATGTCTGAATTTGTCCCTCACACAGATGGGCCAGTGCTGTTCCCTGCAAAATTAATGTCAAAGCCCTCCATTGACTTAAGTGGAAGCACAGGCTCATCCTGTATGCCTTTAAGATAAGCTTAAAATATATAAAAGGGGAGAGATGGGGTGTTGTAAACTCTTTTAATTCCCAGTTTTGCTGATGACAGATCTGATTCTGAAAATACCGAGTGTCTTAATTCTTACCATGAATATTCTCATTTGAGCTCTGGTAGTAATACCTGGTGGTTAGTGCAGGATGTTTCCATAAATAATGATGTACAGCCCCTCTCAGGGTATGTCCAGTCTGCATCCTTCTGTCGGCAGAGGGATGCAGATTAGGCAGGCTGACATTGCAAATGAGGCAGGGATTTAAATATCCCATGCCTAATTTGCATAAAAATGGCCACTGCGTTTTGCCGACTTAGCACTTTGTAAACAAAAAGTAGCAATCTAGAGGGGGATCTGTCAAGAAAGAAAGCCTTTTTCAACAGATCCTGTAAACCTCCTTGCAGGAGGCATAAGGGATCTGTGGAAAAAGGCTTTCTTTCTCAACAGATCCCTCTCTAGACTGCCACTTCTTGCTGACAAAGTGCTGAGTTGGCAAAACACGGTGGCCATTTGTATGCAAATTAGGCGTGGGATGTTTAAATCCCTTCCTTATTTGCAATGTTGACCTGCCTAATCTGCATCCCTCTGCCGACAGAGGGATGCAGTCTAGACATACCCTCAGTGAAGAGTGAGAAAGAGAGTCTTGTCTTAAGTGGTGCATTGGCCTCTGAGGGAGCCCTTTAAAGGGCTAAATTGTATACTTTCATAAAAAAAGCTCAACTCTCCATTTAAAATGCTGAAGATTTACAACTACTAATCCATTGTATATTGGAAACCTGCCTGAAAACATGGAAGTTTTTGACACAAAACATTTTGTTTGGGGCCACTTCCCTGACATCTTACCCAAACCAACAAAAACGGTGGCTTAAAAAGAATGTACCATTTACAAACAAACCTGTCAAGTAATGTATATGTTCACATCATACCAAAATGTTCTGCTTTGGATTATTTTTACAAGTACATTCTTTTAAGACAGCTGATTGTATTGTATAAAGAGCTGTGCGTTTTAATATAACTTCTTCAAAGCATCTTTATTTACTTAGGAGGGATTACAATTTTCCTCTCAAGTCTCTTGAAAATAAATTTACAACATTAAAATTGTATAACGCTAGAAAGCACAGTATGAGTTATTCAGCCAAAATTAAGCTCTTGAACTATCAGCCAACCTTGTATTAAAAATGACAGAATCATGATACAGCCTGACAAGCTTTTGGCACTCAGAGTTTGTATCAAAGAAGTATTTGGCAATGTGTTTCAACATTATATTTATGATTAAAAGATGCTTTTGATATTACAGCTCCAGTACATTGTTCATTGTGTAAGTGGGGAGGAGGCACATAAATAATATTGCACAGTGCAAACATGCAAATGTAAATAATAAAATCAGCAGGCATTATTCAATAGTTTCAGTACCATCACTTTTTAAAAAAATAAACTAGGAGTGTGCTGATCTGATTCAGACAGCTTTGTGTACAGAGCTTTATGCTTACTCTTGCATACCCAGCGGGGATGACAGACTGGCTGGGCTGCTGGTCAGTGTGGGAGGAGAGGGAGGGCTTGCTCTCCACTCCTAGAAGGGACAGGGCCTCAGGTGGAAGAGGTGAAGAGCCTTAACACTGCCCAGATAGCATTGTGCTTACCCCAAGCAGTCCTTATGCTGCCCAGAATGCACCACACAGGGCTGTGGCAGCAATATAAAGGGCCTGAGGCACCAGCTGCAGTAGCAGCAGAGGTGTACTTCAAGGCTTTATCATTGCTACCTCTCTGGCTGTGTTAATAACTCAGTTGGCATTCCCCATTATGTGACTAGCTAAGGCCTAGTGCTGGCTGGTTATCTGCACAGGGGTGAATTTTACTTCCTGATCTAGCCCTTAACAGTGCAGTCAGAGTGAGCCTTGACATGCCTCTTGTCAGCTCTTTAACTTACAGAGGTTAGATTTTGAGTTAATCACTTAGGGTATGTCGACTCTACGGGTTTTTTCGGAAAAGCCATTTTTCTGAAAAAACTTGATTTATGTCCACACTGCAACTGCGTTCTTTTGAAAGAAAATCGAAAGAACAGAGGGGTTTTTCCTAAACTGGTAATCCTCAGGGCTCGACAATTAGTGTAATCTACTCGCCTATGGCCTATGGCAAGTAGATTACAAGCCAGCACAGCCGCACCGCGCGGTAAGCGCATGCACAGCGCGGTCTGCGCATGCGCAGCGTGCCAAACCGTGTGACTGGTGAGCAGGGCTTGCCGACGCTTGGCGAGCCCTGGTAATCCTCATTCTATGAGGAAGAAACCTTTTTCCAAAAGAGCTCTTTTGGGAAAAGACATGTGTGGACGGGGAAGAGAGAGTTCTTCCGAAAAAAGAAGAAAGAGGAAAAGCACAGGTGCCCTGGTGGCCACTCTGACCATAGTAATCACAGCTTAAATGTGAGACAGCATCCATTCAGTGTGGATGCTATCTTTCGAAAAAGCAGATAGTTTTTTCGATGCGCTTTTGCAGTGTGGACACTCTCTTTTGGAAGAAGTTTTTCCAGAAGATCTGTTCTGGAAAAGCTTCTTCCGAAAGGAACCTGCAGTCTAGACATAGCCTTAAGCTCTCTTGTGTGTTCCATCCTCTAAAGCCATTGATTCCTGAGATCTGCACCATTCTTGGCAGATCAGCAATAGGAACAGACCATATGAACAGAGATCCTTACCCTCTGACTCTCTGTAGTGCCTTAAAAGCAGCATTACTGCAAGAACCAGCACTTCTCAGAAAGTCACTCAGATGGGGCTCCACAGTATAAAATTGAAACCTGAAAAGTTTAACTGGAATTTGGGAAGAGGAACAGGCCACAGAAAATCCCTTGCACCTCCATACCCATCCTCCTTCCCACCTGCTGCTATGATTACCCAAAAAACAGCTGTCATAGCATAGGGGAGCTGGAAGTGGAATATTGTGGAGGAAACCCTCCCCTCTTCTTCCTCTTGGGATCATACACAAGGGCTTTATGAACCCCTATGCTCATAGGAGCCATGGTGGGATGGGGCAAGGAGATCACAAATGTTTTGTCTGGAACAGAGAATTACTGTGTTTTCACCACTCACATTTCCATTCAAGGTAAGGGGTGGGGGGAGGAGAGAGAAGGAGAGAGAATCCTTAAATCTTCCAAAAAACCTTACAATCTGTTTGCATACATGTACTATAGCTTATTCAGTTCTCATTTATGCTTCTCTTGCACCTCTTCATACTTTCAGGCTTGTGTTGAGGAGCCATACAAAACCTATTCCCTGCTTTCAGGGCTTGTACAGACATGGGTGACTGATGCCTGTGGAAGGGGGTGTGGGGAGGCCATGCAAAGGAACAGGGAGGGGGCATGAGGAGACACTCCAGTTAGTAATTAAAATTTTGGTGGAGGCACAAAGGGGTGGTGCACCTCCTGAGCACCACCCTGAGTCTCCAAAGTGTACAGGGATGTATTTTACATCTGTAACTCCAAGCCATAGGAAAAACAGTTGTATCACAGACATCAATATGTGGTGAGGGCAAATGGTGACCACTGCCACATATTTTGTCCTTTCCCTGACCCATACATTTTCTCTAGAGTGCTGTTATTGCGGCGGTTTGAAATAATCACTTCAATGGACAGCTTCTCTTGCTGTAATTTGATCTAATAATCAGAGGTTGTATTAAACACAAATTGTATTGTGCGATGTCAGGCATTTGATGCAGATGCCTTCAGTACCATTTTTTTGAATTTCATATTGCCTGGAATTCTTTATTATTAGTGTACAGCATAATGGTCAACAGCTGGATCCTAAATACATTGCTTTTAAGAGAGGCAAGTAGAGTGATTTGGATAATCTCTTGATTATAGGATTCCTAAACCACATATTATACTTAACCGACTGAATATTCTGAACTGTTCCACAGAGAGTAAAATCTTTAAGCAGCTCTCTTTTGGTCTCGGTAATTTATTTTAGATTTCCTATGACACTCTGTGTTTCTGTTTGGTTTGCAGCCTCTCATTATAGGGAGAGTTATTAGAAATCATTGTATGACTAATCAGAAATAGGTACATTGGTGTACATGTGCCCTTTTATAGTTTGGACATTCATTTTTCAATATACACCTTTGAATTCATTGTTATATGCTATATTCAGTAAGGTACATGCCAAATTGTTTATATATATGAGTGCCCCAGTTATACACAAAACTACTACTTTATGGTAATACATTATGCTTATTCATTACTAAAGGTCAGTCATGACTGCTGTTAGTCACTAGTTCCATTCATTAATCCCTCAGGGTATGTCTACACTACCCCGCTAGTTCGAGGGGTAATGTAGGCATACCGCACTTGCAAATGAAGCCCGGGAAATTCAAATCCCGGGCTTCATTTGCGTAAGCGGGGAGCCGCCATTTTTAAAACCCCGCTGGTTCAAACCCCGTGCAGCGCAGCTACACGGGGCTCGAACTAGGTAGTTCGAACTAGGATTCCTATTCCGAACTACCGGTACACCTCCGGTAGTTCAGAATAGGAATCCTAGTTCGAACTACCTAGTTCGAGCCCCGTGTAGCCGCG